ACAGGGTTTTGTTAAGCAGGGGGTTAAGCAGTATGTTGTATGTTAAGCTACAAGTTGTATAGCTGAGTTAATTATTAACCATAGTTAGTTGAGTTTAGTTAGTTGGATTAGTTAGCAGCAGTTATTGTATAAAAGATTTGTAAAAGACATTATACAGAATAACAGAAGAGTATATTTTTCCCCAAATTTCTTCTTCTTCGATTGCTCTCAATACATTCAACAGAGACCCTAATTAAGAAATTTATTGTTGATACCGAGACTCTGATTAAGAAATTGACGACTGAATACAAGACTCAGTTAAAGGAAAATGAGAATCAGATAAAGGAATTAAAGCCCGACAATGAGACCCTAATTAAGAAATTTGCTGATATCATGACTTAGAAATTTGTTGATGATATCATGACTGCGGCTGAGACCATAATTGGCATCTTAGTTTTTGGCCTCGTGCATTGTTGTCCTTATAATAGCCTTTGTATTTCTTCTGGCTGCACTTGTATCCATGGTTAGGTGGATTATGACAAGTGGTGGAGAGTAAAAGGCGAAGGTGAAGGTGATGATGGGCGATTGAGTCTCTGCGTCGTGAAATAGAACATTTATTTGGTTATCTTTGATATTCTTCAAAAAGTAATTAAAAGGTAACACTTATTGCGTCGTGAAAAGTATCGATATTTTATGAGAGGACCGGGGGTTTCTTTAAGAAATTTTAGAGGTTTTGGGTTTCAAAACTATCCTGGTTTCTCCCAGTTTTGTGTTCAACATTGTTTCTCAACTGACTTAAGTAAAGAATACTAACAACCCACTAAACTCTTTCCTTCTATAATAGCGTTAAGAAGAAAATTAAACTTGAGAGAATAATATAATTAAATAAAATGTGTCCTAAGAATAGAAGTGAGGAAGAAACAATAAGGAAATCCATTAATAAACACTGTTATATTATTGGAAGAGAAAAAAACAATTGTTTTGTGCATCGAGTTAAAAAGTTTACTTTTTTTTTTTTTTTTTTTTCCGAATAATACTACTTTTCATCAAAACATATTCCACCCTTTTTAATTTTTATCACGAAACCAGCTTTTCCATACATGGTTTGAGAAACCGTCAACTCTCCACCAATTTCCTAAATTCTACCGTTAAATTTAACGACAAAATGACATTTATATCCTTTTACTCAACATATAATCCTAAAAGCATCTAAAGTATCTAATAAAAAGTAAAAATACACATGTATTCAAAATAATATTCTTTTAACCCTTTCAAAAACCTTGCAAATCAAACCCTGAAAAACTCTTCAAAACTACTTAAATTGAAAAAAAAAAAAAAAATAAACAACCTTCACTTATATTGAGTGTTATCTAGAGACAAAATACAGAAATGAGAATCTCAACATGTAATAAATTGTGCTCACTAAAGTAAAGTTTTACATGTTCGAAAATCCATCTATAGTTTAATAATTGAGAAGTTGCCAGAATTCTTTCTCCTTCAAAAGTTCAGTAGGGGTTTATGACAATTTTCTCCTCAATGTTTGAGAAAAATAACAAACACATCCAAGAGTTTTAGAAACTAACAAATGCACTCAAAAATTGGTTACTTTACTATATAAATACTATAATACCCTTTGTCTAATTTTCTTTTAAGTTTTTATATATTCAGATTTTATTTTATATAAATAGAATTATTTACTAACAAAATTTGTATAATAAATTATAATTAAAATAAACACATGGATAGTAAATTTTTATTTAATTTTATACAATAAACTAAAAAATAAAATAAAACTAAATTCAATTAAATTACATACTATAAAATGAATATATAATATATAATATTATATATATATATATATAATTATTATATATTATATAATATATATATATATTATATAAATATATAAATGGAGAGGTAAGTTATAATAAGATAATGATAATAAAGTTTTTGAATCAAATTCAGATTCTTTCCGATTTTTATTTCTTCAATTTTTATATAATTAAAATAAAAATTGAAGAAATAAAAAATAAAAAAAAATATGTAATTAGATAAATGATATCATAATCTTTATATGGTAGGGTAATCAATTACTGGGTACATTTGTTACTTTCCAAAATATTTGGGTGCCTTTTGACTTTCCCCACACCTCGAGAAGGAAACTTTTGTAAACCCCTTGATTTTCAATAAACACTTTCCATCGCCATGTCCAGACAATCTTTATTAACCTAATAATTCTTATTTGCTTGAGTAAAGCTTGTCGAAGTTTTGATCTGCTAACCGACAATGTGAACCTAAAGTCAAATGAGAAGACAAATTAGCCGAAATTAAATTAATAAAAATAAATAAATACTGTAAATAAAATTTTCAAAAAAAAAAAACTAAAAACTGCCTGAAAAGTCGTCAACCAGTTGTCCATGATCAACGGGCGTTATTAATAATATGTCCAATGACACTGTTGAGACTGTTCACATCAATTCCTATAAATTAATTTGTATGATGAAAGGGGTAAATTGTCAGTTTTTATACTTGCAGGGAGTTTGTTGGCATAAAACCTATATATATAACATGAAGATTCCAAAAACATAGAAATATAACATGAATAATAAATCATAATCTCAATCTCGTTTAGAATGATTAATTATATTTTGCTTGCGAATTTAAAATTAAAATTAATTAATTCATATATATAGGTGTGAAAAATAACATTGTTGAGAAAAGCCACTGGATCCATGAAGTCTAGGTGTATTGGACTCCAATTCTATTATATTTTGGCCCAAACTTAGGCTTGTTGTTTGATTTATTATTCAAACGCAATTATTTGTTTTAGAGAAAAAAAAAAAAAGTTAAATTCTTTAATAAATTCATTTAATTGAACTGTTTTTCCAATATTTAAAAAAAAAAAAATAGATACATATAATCTTAAGAAGCAATTGTTAGATTAAAAAAAAAAAAAAAAAAAATTTAACCATTTGGGTTTTTTCAACTTATTTTAAGAACACGAATAGAACAAAGTTATTACTTCCCAATTATTTCCTTTAACTAATTGTTGGTTCAAGAGACCATGTGGCAAAATTAAGATGATTTATAATATAGTTTATTGAGAAAAAGCATATAATTAATCCCTAAAATTCTTTGCATATCTCTCATCATTGGATATGCTTCCTTTTTTTTTTTTTTTTGCCGTATCACATTTGTATTATTACTAAAGAATAATTTTAATATAAACGATAATAATAATGGTTAACTCATTGTTTATTTATTGTCAATTAATACTAAAACAAATTTTGGTAAAACTTTTCAAATCAAAGACTTGAAAAATAAAATTAGTTTAGTATAAATTGAGTAATAAATGATTAACTTACTGTTTATTATCACCAATTAATACTAAATTAAAAATTTGACCAAACTTCTAGCATAAAAAACTTGTAAAATTTTGTATTTAAATATAGATAGATAATAATAAATGATGAATAATACTATACATCCCCAAATATATTCCAAAACTTATATCTTAAATGAAATTGCAATATTATTCACGAAATCATCATTTTATTAATTACACCAAGTAAGATAAATTTTTTGGAGGGTATATTAATATTGACAAATGGTTAATATACTGTCAATTAACACTAAAAATAAAGGGCAATACTACACTTACAACTCAATCTAACAAACGTTTTCTTACAACTATGACATGATAGCTCGCTATTGGTATGTGACCAATTACGAGTTATCACGTTGGGGTCAGTGGCAGATCCAGGAATTTCACTCTATAGAGGCAAAAGATAAAAAAAAAAAAAAATTAAAACCAATCATAATCGTACTTTTTTTTTAATTACGTTGAGCTTCAATAAAAAGTTACAAAAATATAAATAAATATCTTCAAAAAGCACAATTTTTGTAAAAATAAAACATTTTTTCTACAATTGTCCTCGACTTTTTTTCGTATTTTAAAAACGTTGGATAATCATCTCATCGTCAATTGTATCAAATACATCTTTCTCAATATGGGTGACCAAGCAATCATTTATCTATTGATCTCTCATTTGATTGCGTAACCAACTTTTCACAAGATTCATTGTAAAAAAAACCCTTTCAACGGTTGCAGTCGCAACTGGTAAAATCAACATAACTTTCACAAGCTTATACATCAATGGATACAAAATGTCTTTTTTAAACTAAACAAAATTTTTACTCAAATCACCAATTCCTTGTAGCTCAGCAAATTCATCACAAGAACGCATGTTAATAACATAAGTCTCAGCCTAGTTCAGAAAAATCATATGGATAAAACTAGCCAAACCCATTCTTCCCTCTCTTCTTTTTTTTCCTTTTCCTTTGCTTCTTCTTCCTTTCTTCTTCCTCTCTAATTCCTTTTATTTTTACTCCTAATAAAACTTTTAAAAACTAACAGATGCATTTGTATAAAAATAAAAATCACAACAAATATGACATACATACATATATATATTAGGATTAAAAACGTGGTTTTACAAAAACAAAATCCAAACTTACATTGGGGTTCGTTTCGTTCCCAAAATCTCAAAATTTTTTAGGGAAAAAATTTAAATAAATATAAAATCTAGAATTTTTTAAAAATTGAGTGAGGATTGTGGTCCCTACTTTTCATTCATTGGATTCACCATTGGTCGGGGTTATTAAAGAAAGTTTGTAAAATTAAATTGTAAACCAATTTTTATTGAAAATCAAATTTTGTCCTACCTCAAATTATTAAAAAACTTGTAAAATTTCGTACTTTAGAAAAAATCGACAATAATAAGCAATTAATTCTGCTAATCTATAGCTGTCCGAATCTTAAATAAAATAACCCCACTATCATTGTAACAATACTTGTTCCCTACATAATAAATACTCCTCTAATTTAATAACATATATTTCATTATTTCTCATGTGAGACATGCAGTACTATTTTATTATATTAATTATTTTGTCTCTTGATTGTGTCTCTATTTAAATGATCCTGCAAGCTCAAAGCTTCCCACAATCCCGCACGATTTCGCAAAAGTTTAGCCATGGACAAAACTAGTGTCGATTGGTCCAACCTTCCCCAAGACCTCCTTGGCTCCATCGGAAACCGCCTTCACGCCAGCCATGACATCCTCCGTTTCCGCGCAGTCTGTAACTCATTTCGATCCTCACTTCCTTCTCCAACAAAACCTCTCCCCCCGCTTTCAAATCACAAAATTTTGTTTCCGAACGGCGTAACAACACAAACTGGCTGTAGAGGACTCCTGGTGATTTCCGAGAGCACGATTTACGCAGTCGAATCCCTGGAAAGAGTCTCCGCCACGCAAGAAACCCCCGAAACGTGGCTGATCAAAGTCCAGGAATCAATCTCCGGAAAAGTCAGAGTTCCGGATCAGCTCTTCAGGATTTGCTTCCGAAACTTTCCCCAATTGTTACCGAAATGCTTGAACTTGCTTGACTATCAAGTGAAGGAGTTAACTCAAGTTTACCAGCTCGAAATGGAATCCAAAAAAAGGTCGCCTCCTTGCTTCAGAAAAGTTATTGTATCGCGCGATAGTGAACTCGCAGTCATGGCGTTAATCAATGGAGGAAGAGTGGACGTGTGGAGAAGTCGAAACAATACGTGGGCGACCATCGATAAAATCGGTGGCGATGATTTTTATTTCGAAGATATTATTTATCACAACAAGAAATTCTACATTTCGGGCTCAAATGGTCGTACTATAACGGTTGATCCTAAGTCTTTGAACATTACTGAAGTTGCAGCTCCGATTACCAAATCGAATCGAGGGTTAATGTGTTTCGTGAAGTGGCACGAGGATTTATTTTTGATCGACAAGTATTGGTTGGAGAAGTATAATAAATTTGGTTTTTCCGTAGACTGTGACAGCGAGCGTTCTGCCGCTCGTTTGGATGTTTATAAGCTTGATGAAGAGAAGCGTGAGTGGATTAAGGTGAATGATGGATTGAAAGATCGAGCATTGTTTCTGAGTGAAGAATGTTCAATTTTTCTGCCGGCCGAAGAGTTCTATGGATGTAAAGGGAATTGCATTTATTTGTTCGATAAGGATTTGTCCAGGGCTGTTAATATTAAGATTTTTGACTTGGAGAATGATACTGTTAGATATGTGTTTCGAAATTAAAGTGTTTATTGACTGGCATTATGAGTGAAAATTACTCATGCTACAAGATATAATTTAAATTTTAGATTGTATTTTTTATTTTTATTTTTGTAACTTATTTTAATTTCATAAAATCTAATGACTCTACTTCTTTATTGTCATTTTTTAATTAACTTCTGGCTCAATAGAGTATGGGAATCATGTCACAAAACAAAGAGATTTTTTTCTATTATTTAATGGAGCTAGCCAAGCATCTTTAATCCCTGATATCTTGCATATATAATTTATTTTAAAGAACTCTATCTTGCTGACGTAACGAAAACAATTCTGAAGTGGTAGGAGTGTTTTGTTTTGGTTTTGGCTCTTGGCTATTGGCTTTGTGTACCTTGTTCCTTTTGGATGTTTTGTGCTCCCCCTGGGCATGTCTCAAGGTCGGGTGGCTGTCCTTTCTTTTGGTATTGGGTTGTGTTTGGTTTAGAGTTAGTTGGTCTACTCTTGCTCCCAAATTTTTGTTTATAAAGACTGCAAAACAAGAGGAATGAGTGTTGTTGGTTGGCCTCGGTTGAGGTGTGCACTCCATGTTTTAGTTTTTTTTTTGTTGCTTTGTTTAGCTTTTGTGTTTAGTTGTTTAGTTTAGTAATTATGTAGTCTTGGTGATTACTTGATTTTTTTGTGCCTACCTAAGGCTTGTCCTATTGTAGGGTGCCTGTTTTTAATATGGCTTTTTGTAAATTCTTTTTCATTTCTAATGAATATTTACTAACCCAAAAAAAAATAAATAAATAAATAAATAAATAAATAAATTCTGAAGGAGAATTAATCTAGACGGCACCGGTGCTTGCACTTTTTTTTTTTTTACAAGTTATTAAGATAAATTGCCATGTTTTGAGAGAATTATTACTTTCTGGAGCTGTTTGGTTGGGGGTTATTCCCAATTATTGAGGTAATATCATCTTATTTTATTTACATTATCATGTGTGATTGACAAGTAATATAAGATTCCACTAATCTTTCAAAATCAATTATAATTATCATTGGTTATATAAGTGGTAATCTGAAAACCACCATTTTTTTAAGTATTTTAAGATTATTTGGTAATCCTAATTTTGTTATAATTTTACCTTTAACTATTAAATTTTTTGGATAATAATGCCCTTATTTTGAAAATAATTTACAAAATACTAATGAACCCAAGACTCGTGGCCAGATCTAGCCACCACCACCAACCATCAATTGGATTTGGCCGATCGAGCATCGATCTAGCCGGTCATGCGTTGTTCTAGACACGACTACCAACGGCCGATAGTGGCTTGGGTGGCTAAGGTCTTTTGTTAATTTTTAAACTTTTATTAAATGATGTTTTAGCTAAATTCTTAAATGTAGGGGTTTAAAGAATAATCTAAATATAATAATATAAAATAGAAGGACAATTCAGTAATTTATATAACATACTCACCAATTTATTTCTCCATCTAAACATATTAATATAACATATTTACTAATTTATTCCAATTTAACCAAACACATTTCCTCAAACATTCTCAGTAATATTTAAGGTAATCTATCTTTCCATTAATATTACATTCTCAGTTATACAACATTTTCCGAACCAAAAGCTCTCTCATAATGTTACTGTTTACTTGTTTAGACAATATTTTATTTTTATTATTCTATTAAAGAATATTGCTTTTTAGTTAATGTGCCTGCGTCAAAGCAAATACCAATACCCGGACGCTGGTGGCGTTTGGGTGTAATGTATACCGAACGCCATAATAGCATTGGAGAATTGTTGTTTGCAACTTTGCATCAGCACAAGACTCTGGTGTTGAGCATGACATCGATTCAAAAAGGTTTTCTTGTAGTGGTAATTCCCTTGCTTAAATTTTTATTTTTTAAATAAAATTTCTTTTATAATTAATTTTTCTATGTCGTGGATATGACAGTTTTTTTTTTATTTTTAAAAACCATGCATTATTTGATAGCATTATGGAGAAAAAAAAATGAGAAGGCTTTGAGAAGGCACGGTGACTTTGACAATTCCTTTAAAAAATGTAGAGGCAAAGCATAAAATCTTTCAAAATCTTGCATATATATATATATATATATATATATATATATTTCAACCATTGGAGGTATATATATATTTCAACCATTGGAGGTCCTTCTTTCTTAATTATTTTCCACGAGTTGCTTGTTTATATCATCACGTAATAAAACGAAGTGACCCTCACTTAAATTCGATATGAAGATTAATATTAAATTAAAAAAAATACAGGTTGTACAAATTGAGTTAATTAATTAGAATGTTAATTCTTCTGGCTCTATTAAATTTATTTTGATAACTTTAAGGCTTGCACGAACTTCACGCTCTCATTTCTCCTTGCTGTTTTAGGCTGCAGCCATGGCATCACGAAAAGTGGCTTGGTTTACTTCAAGTTGAAGAGTCAATTGAACCTCTGGCAAACTACCAGTCACTGGTTCGCTCCTCGGAATTTGCTTAAATTTTAAAAACTTTCCCAAGATGTTACGGGATATTCAAGAAACTAAATTTAGTTTATGATACACTAGATCAACAAATTAATTATCATATGGAATAGATTCATAGATATTTCTATTTCTGCCAATTGGCAAATGAATACTGAATACAAAATTTTACTTATTAAATATCGTTATAATATTCTTTATAGAATTGATTAGTGGTTAAGGAGATCTATTCTCTTTATTACCTTCATAGTTTCAAACAACTTTAATGTTATTTACTATATTTATGATTTATTTAAAACATTTGGTTTGTAAGGTGTTCAATAGACTCTGGAGATTAGTTGAGATACGTACAAACTAACCCGAGCACTCGAATATAAAAAAAAATATATACTGTATATACATATATATCATTATAATAGTTTACGACTTAATATTACAGTAAAAATTATTCTCTAACATTGAGATGTACATGATTTTACTGAATTTCATTCTTGTTTATAAACTTCATATTGTAATGTTTGTTTATTTGCCCACGACTAAATATATTTGACTATTAGATAGATTTGATCGCATAAAATTAAGTGGTATGTTTTCTTTATTTTTAATGTCTAATATATTACAAGTATCAGCCATCAGGTCGTTTGTTTGCACAAATTATAAACATCTTAAAAAATAATACTCATAATAGTTATGTAATGTTTTTATATCTTAAAAATCAATATTTGAACACTCAAAATATAATCAAAGTGGAGTTTAAATTTATCATAATAATGACCTGAAATAAAAATTATTGTAAAATTAGACATGAAAAATTAAAGTAAACAGAATATATAAATTTTTCATCAATGTAATGTTTTTAAAAGATAGCAAAAAAATACAAATAATTCTTTTGGTGTTGTGAAGTCCCACATCACTCTGTGTGAGAGGGGGTGCGCGTATATATGGGACTGTAGATCTTAACCCAACCTGACACATTTTGGGCCTAAAGCCCAGAAACAAAATCACAAAGCCCTGTAGTGTCAAAACGGATAATATCATGTTGGATTATTTATAACATGTTATTAGCATGATCGTGATGGGGGGTAGTGTGTTGTGAGCTCCCATATTGCTCTACGTGAAAGGGGGTATGTGTATATATGGGGTTATAAGCTTTAACCTAACATGTTGCGTTTTGGGCCTGAAGCGCAGAAACAAAATCGTATGGAGCCTAGAAACAAAATCGTATGGCTCCATAGTGCCAAAACAAACAATATCATGGTGGTATATTTATAACATTTGGAAAATACTAAACTTTGACTTATATAACAGAAAAAGATAACGTGTTTCGGCTTTCTCTTAACCTAAACTTGGTTTATCATTTTCTACTAATTGGGCCATCAATGACCCACTTATCATTATTTAGTCAATCAGTCCCATTCTAGATCCTCTTTGGACTTCTTAAGCCCATTATTAAAGACATTTGTCAACTTCCCATGGACGTGGACATATCTCTCAGAATTGGACAGCGAGAAGCCGAATTTCGTGTCCACTCGTTTGTTAGACTCTTGTAAGATTATCCTTTGATTATCCCCTACCCTCTCACAAACTGAAATCCATTGATTGCAAACTAGCTACATTGAATCTGAGTAATTGTGGAATTTCTCTATTGATGGGGATTTCAAATCGTCAAGCGTCCTAATTACATTGAATCTGAGTAGTTGTGCTGTGCTAGAGATTCTCCCTAGTAATATCTGTAATTTGAAATCTCTTGAAAATCTCAATCTTTTGAGATGTTCAAAACAAGCTTTGATGGATCGACTGACAACTTAGAAAATATAGAAGCTTTGAAGGTGCTTAATGTAGCAGGCCTTGCCAAAAGTAAAGTGCCATCATCCACAGTGAATTTGCGCTTCTAATGCTACTAAATCTCACCGGATGCTGTGTTGGAGAGTTACCTGAAAATCTTGGTCAATTATCCTCACTGAGATATCTTGTGTCGGAGAAAACAATTTTGAGAGCATTCCAAGAAGCATCATAAACCTGACTGATGACATCATATGTTAGCCAAATAAAATCAAGTCAAAGATTCCTGATTGATGGTAAACTTTCTACTATTTCATCTATTTCTTATCGAAATAACTATTTCATCTATCTATAAATTTCTCCAAAAAAACAATTGCTTGTTTATCATATTAATTAAGTAATACAATGGGTTGATCCTTACTTTAATATGATCAGATGACTATCAAAATGAAAAAATGTGGAGATCATTTAGCATCCATCACTAAAGTAGTTAATTAACCACTAGCTATATTAATTTTTGTGTCTCTATTTAAGATGATTATGATAACTTTGGCTTTGTTTGGTACACTTTTTTCAATAATATTTTATTCTAAATACGATATGATAGAGTTTAATCAAATAGGATATGACTTTAAGAATATGTTTGATATATTTTTTAAAAATATTTTTTGAAAATATTTAGATTATTTTTTAACTTCTACATTTATTAATTTAACTAAATACTCAAAATAATAAAAGTTTATAAATTAATAAAAACATTCTCATT